TAGATCTAATTTTGCAAATTTCATAGTATACTGGCTGCTGACTCCACGTGACATTGTTAGATCTAAGAGACAAATGGGTTAGTATGGAAAATCATTTAAGAGGTTTATGGACTTAGAAGTTGAATTTAAGGGTGAAACGAAGGGTATGGACCTGTGGCAAACTTTTTAAAAAGTTTATGGGCTTGGAAGTTGAATTTAAGGGTCAAACGAAAGAATATGAAGGGGCATAAACCTACAGTGAACTACTTAAAAGTTCACGGACGTGGTAGTTGAATTTGAGGGCCAAACAATGTGATATGGACCTGTGTTGAACCACTTAAAAAATTTATAGATCCAAATAATCAACTTTTAGAGTTGATGGACCTAACCGAACTCGCTACATAAGTTAATGGAGTTATGGTGCATTTAACTCAAAATATAAGTAGTTAACTATATATTATCATCCCATCTGCTCTTATCCATTCTAACAAACAAAAAATAGTTGTTCCATACTTCCATCCATCCAACCACAGATATCATAGATCATTTTATCATGAAATCCATTGTAACGACGTCCAACTTTTACTCTCAAAGCAGATCTGTTAGATAATCTACTGCTTCCTTGTGTGAACACACACCAAGAGAAGACGGCAGAACAGACGAAAAGGCTGCTGTGTTATCTAGTCACTATTGCAGCAGGGCAGCTGTACTAGTACTAGATGGATAGAATTATATATATAGTTTGCCACTGTAACTCAACAAAGAGAGTTCAGATTTGCCATCTCCTATACAGGGCTCCGGCCAACGCTGGTGCTTATATTATGTGTATGTTATGTTCTTTCTCTTTTTCTATCTCTGACTATAATGTGTGATCGAATAACGTCTGTCGTGTTCGGTTATGATCGACAAAACTGATGAGCGATGAAGTCACCTAAGTCGGTGATCCTGTGGCTAACAAGATCGACACACCGTCCCCAGCTTCTTCAATTCGCACGATAGCTGCTTGCCAACTACTCCTGCTTCCGAATTTCTGATTGCCATGTCCATCAGCCGCTGTGCCTGTGCAGGCAAGAGCAGGTACGCTTTGACCGACCAGAAAACGACGATGCAGCAGCTGTTCACTTCAGTTTTCTGAGTCAGCTGAGAGAGCGAGCCGGCGGCCACATGCTAAGCGGCGACCTAATATAAAGCCTAACATTGAAGAGCAGAAACATTAATTAATCGAGCAGAAGAGCACCGGACTGATCGATCTGTCAGTGAGTCCTAGATTCAGAAGCAGCCGAGATGGGTAACTAATCAGAGCACCTTTTAGTTTTTTTTTGAACGTAAAAGCACCTTTTAGTTCGCCTCGGTTAGATTGCAAGTTTTTTCATTTTCTCCGTCACATCAAATCTTTAGACACATGCATAGAGTATTAAATGTAGATAAAAAAATAACTAATTACATAGTTTTATTGTAAATTACGAGACGAATCTTTTGAGCCTAGTTAGACCATGATTGGACAATAATTGTCAAATACAATTAAAAGTGCCACTAACCCAATCTCAAGGCCTCAAAGAGAACTGATCAGTTTTGCCATCTCCTATATAAAGTTTCAGCCAACACTGGTACTTGTATTATGTGTGTGCTCTGTTCTTCCTCTTTTTCTATCTCTAACTATAGTGTGTGATCAAACAACGTCTATCGTGCTCGGTTGTGATCGATAAGACTGATGAGCGGTGAAGTCACCTAAGCCGGTAATCCCGTGGCTAACAAGATCGGCACACCGTTCCCAGCTTCTTCAATTCGCACGATAGCTGCTAGCCAACTACTCCTGCTTCCGAATTTCTGATTGCCATGTCCATCAGCCGCTGTGCCTGTGCAAGCGAGAGCAGGTACGCTTTGACCGACCAGAAAACGACGATGCAGCAGCTGTTCACTTCAGTTTTCTGAGTCAGGCCCGTTTAGTTCCAAGCCAAAAATCCAAATGGGAGCTGGTGGAAAAATTTTCGAGGGAGTCAATGTGAAGAAAGCAGGTGGTGAGTCCTCGGGAAGAGGTTGTCACATCAAATCGGGTGGACGCGGTGACGACACATGACAAAAGCCATATAAAATGCTTTAAGTTAACAAGCGTGAGCGAAAAAAAAGCTCATAATTAACTATAGCATTGATGCTCACGAGTCAATCGAGAGATGCTCGAATCTTTGGAGTTTTAAGTATTTGGATAAATAGTCCATAACTGAAATTTGGTACCGGAAATAAAACGAAAGTGCTACAATGGCAAGGTTAGGTTTGGGGAAGTGGAGATTAGAAAATTTTCAGAACTTCAAACCGGGCCTCAGCTGATGAGAGAGCGAGCAAACAGAGAGGCCACAGTGCTAAGCGGCGACCTAATATAAAGCCTAAGGCTGTGTTTAGTTGGATGAAAAGTTGGAATTTGGGTACTATAGTATTTTCGTTTTTATTTGACAAATAGTATTCAATTATGGACTAATTAGGCTCAAAACGTTCGTCTCGTAATTTCCCATCAAACTGTGTAATTAGTTTTTTTTTCATCTATATTTAATGCTCTATGCATATATCGCAAGATTCGATGTGATGGATACTGTAGCATTTTTTTTTTGAACTTCTTTTGGAACTAAACACGCGCTAACATTGAAGAGCAGAAACATTAATTAATCGAGCAGAAGAGCACCGGACTGATCGATCTGTCAGTGAGTCCTAGATTCAGAAGCAGCCGAGATGGGTAACTAATCAGAGCACCTTTTAGTTTTTTTTAACGTAAAAGCACCTTTTAGTTCGCCTCGGATCATACTCGGCCTGGTTTAGATTGCAAGTTTTTTCACTCTCTTTTCATTATATTAAATTTTTAGACATATACATAGAGTATTAAATATAGATAAAAAATAACTAATTATATAGTTTAATTGTAAATTACGAGACGAATCTTTTGAACCTAGTTAGACTATGATTGGACAATAATTGTCAAATACAAACGGGAGAAAGTCTTTATATGTGCGTAAACAAGGAGTGGAGTATTTGCACCGGTTGCTAAAATCGATTCCTAACCTCAATCTAAATAAGGCCTCGGAAGTCGATCGGAACGGATCAGTTTCAGCTTCAGGTACCAGCAACCAGTTGGGCATTTTACCTTGGGATTGTCAGACCCACATCACAATTGGCCAGTGTTAGCCAAGCTGAACCGCAGAAAGCTAGTAGCTCCTAGGCCTTTTAGATTGTATGTTGTGGGAATGTGCAAATTTTGATGCATGAGGTGGCCAAGCAAATTGACTTGTTGAGGAACTTTCATGGCTTGGTGTATACTCAAGATGAGTGATAGTGATCATGCAAGAGATTTGTTTCAGATTCAATGACAAACTTTGTTAGGACAATGGGATGGCAGTCGATCATGGACTAATTAGACACTTAAAAGATTCGTCCATTGGTTGAAATTTACAATCAAACAAACAATGATAATTAGTTATTTTTAACATTTACATGTTAATGAAGTCCATGTATATCGAGCAAGAGATCCAAAAATGATGTGATGAAGTTCGTGAAAGTGTGTCTGAAATTAAGGGGAGAAAAACTTAGTAAATTTTCAAAAGCAATCTAAACAAGGTCGAGGTCCTACTCCTAGCTAGGAGTAGTTAACGTCTTAACGAGAGCAGACACACGCACACTTCATCTTCTTGGAAGCAAGGGACATGCCAAATAATGAACATGTGGTACGTAATTACTCCCTTCATAAAAAAAAACATAATTCTAACTTTAAATCTATGCATGCATCTGTCGATCAGTGGTACGGTGATCAATCGATAGGATAGGATATGTTAGCTGCATGCACTGATGCAGGTATATAGTACGTGGCCCAAAGCCTAACGCTACGGTCAGTTCAGTTGCGTCACATCAGCTTGTTCGCAGCTCCTGGTTTACATCGGCCGTTCAATTCGTCCGTCGGGTGAGCACTGAGCAGAAGCCATATCATCCACATGCATCATATCCCAATATCCCATAGCCAGCATATCTCATGGAACATGGATCACAGACGATGCCAAATAATTTGCAGCGACGCCCTCAGGCCTCAGCTCGATCTCGATGGCAGGCAGACTAGGCATGGCATTCGTATCGATCTTATGGGACTCCTCCCGTCCTGTATCACGTATCAGCCTGGTGGACACATGATGTTGATGTTCACGGGCTAGCTTGATTGCGGCGTATCAATTCCTTTTGTTCTTTTGCTACGCCCATCACATCGCCCACGCTGCGACCCAGCACCAAACTGTCTACTATCACCCGGCGGGTAGCTTAATTATCCTTTCAGCCTTTCATTCAGATCATATCCATGCCCTGCTGCCTGCAGCATCTTCAAAAGCTGGATTAGGAGTAGGACACCGGGGGAATGCAGAAATCAATAAGCTTTTATCATACAACATGCTTGCCGTTTGCAACTCTACTGGTACCACTAGATATAGTTACTGTACAGGATTAGGAGACACACACTAAAGTGAGCATTTGATTATTCACGCTGAATCCATGAGTAATAGAATATGTATGAGAAATAAAGTGCGGCTGATAAATTAAAGCTGGCTATATAACTTTTCGTGGTGCATAGCGAAGTTCCAGATAAAACAGCGATGCTGCAGCATCAGCAATGCATTGGGCTGATCGAGTTGGGATGCATCATGCAAGTTATGTTAGTTCACCGTAAAGAGAATAAAAGCGATTGATGGAATCGGTGAATTCAGATGATTGCCTCTTCGTCGATCTGATATATATCATCATGCACGTTACAGTTCTGAACAACGACGCTAGCTAATCAATCAGAAAAACTGAAGAACTGAATTCATTTCTGAATTAGAAGACAGAAATAAACATGGATCATACGTACATTATTATGATTATTACATGTATCGAGAGAAAGAGAAGCCTCAACTAGAGCTGGGCAGCATACTTAGAGAGTAATACTAGTAGCTAGCTGCTGCTAGGTGATCGACCATCGGCAGGCAGGCAGACAGCCAGGAATTGAAGGCATGATCAAGCTACGAGCCGAGGTACATGTTCACCCCGACGGCGATGAGGAAGATGGCGGCGAGGGCGAAGAAGAGGATGGCGTGGATGAGGATGGAGATGGCGCTGGTCTGGAAGTTGCCGAACTCGATGATCCGGCACTTGCCCGGAATCTGGAACAGCAGGCCCGGCGACAGCAGGATGAAGAGTACCAGCGAGATGAACACCGGCGCCCAGTCTTGCATCTTCGATCTATCCCTTGCTTCTCTCTTCCTTCTGCTCCTCCTCCTCCTCCTCCTCTTCTTCTTTCGAGGAGATGCTGCTGCTGCCTAGCTATCTATCTCTTCTCAACCAACAATCTCTATATATCTCTTGGATCGGAATGCGTGGCTTCACAGGTGACACCTCGCTCTCCACATATATGTAACTGCTCACTGCTCACCGCTCACGCTCGTCCTGCTAGGTAGCAGGTTCCTTTTAAGCGATACAGAGTTATATAGGTGCCCTACGACCCAAGGGTCCATCCAATGCAAGAGGAGGTTGCAACAGAGCTGTCATGCACATGCCTTGCCAGGGCAAACTGGAGTTAAACACCACCAAAGTGTGGCACCACCAATTACTACTACATACTCTATTGGGTTACATATGACTTTGAGTTAGGACTTCCACCTGACTTTTGGTCTGTAGCCTTTGGATTTTCTGGACAGTTACATAACTACCCTCACATGTACTCTGAAATGTCAGTAATCGCTACTTCTAGCACCTGAAAGACATGAAGAATCATGATTCAGAATCCTAGATGGATGTTATATATACCGGCGCACAATGACTGGCTAGAGAAGGGAATATGAGATCATATAATTACAGTACTGTATGTGTTTGCAATCATATCATGCTACCTGAACAGCAAGCTTGAATTAAGAGCGAAACACAAGGATTTATTACTGTGTTTTGGTACAGGAAGCAGCTTGCATTTGGGCCATTTAAGAAGCACCGAAAAGTCCAGTGCAGCACTGCAGCTGGTACTAGAAGCTGAGACGATGGCGGTGGCGTACAGGACATGTGGGTCATCAAAAGGCTTAATGTGGCTCATGGTTTGTGCGGCTGATAAGCTGGCTGATGCTGATTTATTATGAGAGAAAAACACTATACCATAGCTGATAAGAGCTGATATATTAAGCGAACAGGGCGAGGTCGCCAACCCCGCTGTTTCCTGCCGTGCTGTACTTCATCTCCTCTGATCTGGTCCACTCCACCCCACGGGGAAGTTTCTCCCAGACCCAGAGATAACTCAAAAGTAGAGAAGAGAACCGTCCGTGAACTGCTCCCACGCCGGCCGTCTCCTGCAGTGTGCCAGTGCGGCAGCATGTGAATGACGGGCCATGCGATCTTCGTTCTCAGCTTGTGAAAGCACGCATGTGGTGGTAAAATGCTGTGCTGGGCATCACATGACAGTTGACAGCAGTGGTGGTTGTCATCGGCTTGGCTTGGCTTGTGTCCAAGGGACAAAGGCATCCGATTGAAATCATCCAGGCCGGTGCAGTGCATGTCGTCGTCGTCGTCGTCGTCGTCCCCGGCGCTGCTGCAGCTTATGGAATTGGAAGGATGGGCAAGGAGTAGCTAGCTAGCTGGGACTGGTCACTGGAGGAGGGTAGTGGGTACCAACCAGTCCAGCAGGAAGGAGCAGGACGCCTCAACAGCAGGTGCCCCTACCACAAAGCCACTCGCGCTCGCACTCGCACAAAGCCAAATCGGCACCTCTCTAACACTGACAGGATCGATCCGTTTCACCTACTGCTGGCAGCTGCTGCCTAATAAACCGCGCAATGCAGCTCCAGACGTCGAAGACTATTTATTTAAGCCATGACGATATCAGGCTTGTACGGTTGGTCGGTTGCCACCGGAACCGGAACTGAGCTCCTCTTCCTAATGATCGGAGCTGCGCCGAACATCGTTGTGTGATTGTGATTCCAACCTTTCTAATCTTCTTCTGCTTAATTCAATGACACGCGGAAAAAAGAAGAAGCTTTCCGTGTATTCCTGAAACCCGACGATGATATGACTAAAGTTTAAAGGCTAGCTATCGCATGTTTTTTCAGACAGCGTACCAGTGAGATGTCAAAGTCAAGCCGAAAGACAAAGAGATGGGAGGGGGACGCTTCGATCGTCGATTGCCCAAGTCCAAATCTAAAACTAAAGGAAAGTCAGATTTGACCTGATCGATCTCATCTTACCCTCGCTCGATCGCCTGAGGTCTCTTGTTGCTCTGTGGAATCCACTACCGCTAGCTCCCTTTACACCTACATACAGGAAGATGGTACTATCTAATAGATATGTGCGACCTCTTCCTGGTGGAAAGTGAGGATATAATGCAGTTGCACGTCAGACAGAGTAACTATGTTATGTTTGGAAAATTTTCCACTTGCGTCGAAAAGGCAGATTTTCCTCGACAAAATTTGTGGGGCACCAGCACCAGGGCTTTGTGCATGTGCCTTTATCTCCGCACAACAGACAGATTTGCAGCACCATCTTGGGTGGGCCGGAGGGGGCAGAAGGAGCCCAGGACGCAGCCGTCATTGGATCACAAGACCACCACGGCTTTGCATGCAGTGCTGAGTGCTCTACTGCTGTGCGTCGCCAAAAAAAAAAAAAAAGAAGAAGAAGTGCTCTACTGCCGTGGGCCTGTGGCTGCAGGGCAAAGGAGTACCACATCGCACGCGCCACGATTTCTAAACACCCTACCGCCCACTTGTCAAAGGTGCGACACGTCATACTTGCTTTAAAGACATGTTTCGAACCCAGAAATTCAATTGCAATCATATAGATTTTTTCACAGAAAAAAATATGATTTAGATGAGAAATTTTACGTGTTCCAGACATGGCCTTAATTAGCCCTTAGAGCATCTCCAATAGTGTCCTATTTTTTTCTCCTAAAAACATGTAGTTTTGCAACTCCTAAAAAGATATTGGGAAGAAAAAAGAAGACCATCTCCAAAAGTTTTTAATAATCCACTCCTAAAATATAGAAGATAATTTCACATTAGCAATCATATACTATTTCTAAATTATCGTAACCACTTTTATATATTCTTTCTCTCTCGTATATTTGTATCAAGAACCATTTCCTACTTCTTATTCCACCTTTAGATTGACTGACCGATACGCACACGAACACAGTAACCTCGTGGCCACAACTACGCGCAAATTTACGTGCGACGGGGGAGTATTTCCTAAGTGCATATATCGGGGACCTAATACCGGGTACCTAAGGAGGTAGAACTAATAACCATCGAACGTTAAAAGCTCCCGAACGGACAAGAGCACGGCTGCACTTCTTGCCCGAACGACGGGAGTTTTGTTCCGCCTCGCCCGAACGCCCGTGGACCCGCTCCACCTTGCCCGACGGCTGGAGGACGACTCCGCCTCGCCCGACGGCTGGAGGACGACTCACCCGACCCCTAAGGGACACACTCCGCCTCGCCCGACCCCCGAGGGCTGGGCTCGGCCTCGCCCAACGCCCGAGGGCCGGCTTTACCTCATCCAACGACCGATGACGGATCTCGCCTCACCCGATATTCGGAGGCTGGCTCCGTCTCACCTGACAAACTGTGCCCTGCACCCTCATGATGACGGCTACAGAGTAAGACAAGACGTTCGGGTCAACCACAGCGTCAGACGCCATGCCCTGCACCCCTGCAAGGAAGTACCGTCAGGATGTGACAGGACAAGCGCTGGGACCTCCCCCCAAGCGTGGCAGAGCATGAACAGTGTTGCGGGTGCCTGCTCTCCGCCCTACAGTATTATAGGCGCCGCCCTCAGCCTCCGGACGAAGGACCCGACACGGACATACGACAACCACGACATCCCAAGGGCCAACCAACACTCACCACGCCATCCGACCCCCACGGGGTCGGGGCTCGACAATCCTATCCGACCCCGCCGCCCATGGGGCGGATGGGACGCCCCACTTGCTAAAAAAGGCCAGGGCATGGCCTACGAAGATCGACGGATACGCTACCCGACCACGATCCACCATGATAAGTGAGGCGGGGCGTGGGGAAGAAGGAAGACTCGGGTCTCTCAAAGGGCCTTCTACGCTCTTAGTATTTTTTCTTTTCGCCCATCTGTAAACGCCCCCCCCTTTGTCTATAAAAGGGAGGGCGGGGCTCCCTACTAAGGGGATCGACTCTGGATGAGCTAGCACATGCACACGCACCATACAACCGAGCAGCAATAGAGCTATTGGCATTCTTTCCACTACTCCATCAGGGACTTGGGATCTCTCCCTCTCCCAACCGTTTGTACCCCCTACTACGAACCTCATTCGATGCTAATAACATGAGCAGCAACAGACTGGACGTAGGGACATTCAGCCTGAACCAGTATAAACCTTGTGTCCGTTAGTGCACCATCCGGGCCTAACGCGCATCAAGTATAAATTTACTAGCCGGTGTTTGTTCGAAACACCGACAGTTGGCGCGCCAGGTAGGGGCCTTTGCGCGTTCCAAACCAGGCCACGGATGGCTAACCACAACATCAGCTGGGTCCCTAGTGCACACGTGCGTTTCGGGAACCTGGATTTCATCATCACGGTGGGAGGAGAGTTGGTACGGGTGCACACCACCATCCGATCTCTTCCCCCCAACGGCCTTGACCATGAGAGGCTTGGGCGCCAGCTCGGCGCCTCCCTTGGACCACGATAGTCCAGGGAGAACCAGCATCGCCTTGCCCTCGCTAACGACGATAGCATGGCGCGACCTTCCGGGGAGAGACACCTCTCTCCGGAACACCACGTGCGGAGCGCCCCGACAGCGTTTCCGTTCGGTCTCCGCAACGCCGCGGCAACCGCTAGCCACCTTATGGCGCTACGCATGGTTCAACCGCCCGCGGACAACGAGTTCGTGGGGGAAATTGAACACGACACGAAGTCTCTCCACAAGCTCCTCACTGAGGGGCCCGGATCGTCCTCCAGCTCTAACTCTAGCAGGGGGAGCCATCACCCTTCCCGGGGATGCTTCATGGCGGAAACCCCCGAGGGGCACGTCGAAAGCATCTCTGAGGAGGAAACCACCCTGACGGGCAACCACAACGGCAGGCCCGAAGAGGAGACAGCGGCCCCATCTCACTTAAGGATGGAGCAGCTAAAAGCCCAAAAGTGAGAGATCGATGAGGCCAGACAAGGGCTCGTGCGCGAGTACGCGGAGATCAACCGCGAGATCGAACGCCGCGGAAGCGGCGGGCGCGC